ATTATATTTGGATGCTTATAATTTTTCATTATATACTTACATATATTTCTGATACAAGGATGAAAATATTTTCTTCTTAATAAGCAGCTGAACATTATTAGTTGAATTTTAATCTTTTATATCACTCACCTTGTTGCATAATGTTCAAATGTCAATAACTAAAATATTAGTTCGAATCGAATGAGATACTCTTCATGTTCTTGGGATGGGAAGTTTCCTAATTATTTATAATATAAGTATCCATAATACTGCTAATGTACCTGTCAATCCACCTCCACCACCACCTCCGGTTACTCCACCACCATTTTATGAATCTTACACTCCATCAGTAGCTTAGTATGATATCCCTGCACCAAAAGACTTTCTAGTGCCACCAATGTGGGTGTCAGCTCCTCCTGTGATTCACATCGACATGGACGAAGACTTCTTGAAGACTTTTGAAGACATTAATATGAACCAGTCTAGCTTTTAGATTTATAGATACTAATACTATATGGAATAAAATGGCTTAGGTCTACTACTTGACTATATATGATTTTTGGGGCTATGATGTAATTGCGATGGATGCAATATTAATATTATGATGATTATCTAATATGAATTACTCCCTCCGTTCAAAAATATAAGGTATTTTTTGAGCAGTTGAATGTTAAAAAATATAAGACATTTTTAGTCTTCCAATGTGTAATCATTGCCTTTTTTTCAAAAGTGTCCCTATTAATAATGACTTTATATTTATTATAGGATATTTAATAGGGATAAATATTAAAATATAAAGTTAGTTTGAAAATAGGTAATAACTTTATTGGGGATGAAATTCAGTTAAAAATGCCTTATATTTTTTTAACTAAGGGAGTACATGATTATCCTTTAAATTATTTCTTTCCAAATTTCTATGTTATAAACAAATTTAATTAAATAAATTATTAGCATTAATATTATTTATATGTTTAGTATGAATTAAATATATCTATATTCCTAATATAAATAAATAAAGACATATTATATAAATTCCTTTGAAATATCATGCTATTTACTATGTGTCTATATGATAATACATAACACATAAAATAAGTCTTTTTATAAAAATAATATTATATTTCATATGGAGAATTAGTCTAGGATTTAGTGAATAAAGCTAATCTTCTTGCCCTTAGTGTGTGTGTACTTAATGTTTCTGCAACAAAATCGAGTGAAATAACAAAATCGTGTTAAACCATCAAATGCCCTTAAGAGGGCACAACTTAGACTCCCACTGAACTAAGACTATTACAAAAGATCAATAAAACCTAAATAGGCAAGCCTTTAGTCATATAAATGCATCAGTATGTGTTCATCATATATGTGAATCATGTAAACTCTTCCAAATTAATAGTTTTTATCCCTAACTAAAATATTAATTATTTGTATAAATAAATACTTAATCTTAAAATGAGAGACAAAATTATAAAACTGAATAAAATTTATATGTGTGTTTAACACGATTTTGTTATTTCACTCGATTTTGTTGCAGAAACATTAAGGTGCTTCACATCATTTGTTTCCCATATGATTCAATGATTTGTATTTATACACCTTGCATCGCTAGTTTCCTTTTGGGATTTAGGATCTTGTAAACTTAGACTTATCTGGTTTACAATTGTGGTGAATATATGCTAATACATGTGTATGACTAAAGGCTTACCCATATAGGTTTTGTTGATATTTTGAGATCGCATTAGTTCAATGGGAGCCTAAGTTGTATCATTTTAGGGACATTTGATGGTTTAAGGTCATTTTGCTATTATACTCAATTATATTTTGAAAACAATGAGATGCTTTATATCATTTATTTTCTCATATGATTTAATAATTTGTGTTTATGCACCTTATATCACTTATTTCATCTTAGGATTTAGTGATGTTGTGTTGTTTCTTTATTAAGTTTTAGTTTAGGTTCGAGATGCTATTGTGTTTTAGATCATTTGTCTCCTCATAGTATTCAATGATTTATGTTAGCGCACCTTATGTCACTTGTTTTCCTATAGGATTCACTGTCTTTGGGTCATCTTTTTACTGAGTGATGGTCAGAAGACCTACTCTATATTCTGTTTAGTTAGATACGTCTATATCATTTGTATCCTTATAGAACTTAATGATTCTATTGTAGTGCGCTATACATGTCTCTTGTTTCTCTATAGGAATTAATGGTCTTATATTGTTATCTTACTAAACTGTGATTAAAATAAAAGTTTCATATTTTGTTCTCTTTATATTATGAGACACTAATTTTATGTCTAGTATTACTTATTTCGCTAAAGGATCCGGTGATTGTGAAGTTTCATTTTCTGAATTTTGTTTATGGCTTGATTATATTACTTGCTTAATTAATGCAATTTAAGTGAGAGATTGTTAGAATATTTATATAACATTTATAAATTTGCATTAATTAATAAGCTCAGAATAGATTGATCTTCATGATCTTATATGAACTGTGATAAATGCACTATATAAGTGAACCTAATGAGTAGAGGCCAACCTCCAACTTTGGAGCAATCAATTATTCTCCACTTTTTAACTGATTGAGTCAAATATAATGAGAGATTAATTAATTAATTATTAAAATAATTATTGATATGATTTATATAATATAATTAGTCAATAACTAATATACACGACATACCTCTTTTCTATTCTCTCCACTATCTCCACATTCTTTAATAATTAAGAGAACCTAATAGGTTGTATGCCTGTTTAAATTCCAGATAATTGAGATTCTATTATTGACTTGTATTTTCTTCCAATCACATGTTTACCCACTAAATTTTACTTTAATTATTTTATATTATTTATTGAGGTATTAATTTTAACAGGACAAACTTTCAAAAGGATAGACTTTCACAGACAAGGTGCGTTGGTCTGGTGATCTTACCCAAATCTGTTTGGGTGTCTTGATTGCAATCAAGTTGCTTTTGATTTTGACATGATAGTATGGATTGTTGTAAGGTTATGTCTAGCCTTTTTTATAGAGCTTGTACAGATGTTGACTTGCTGAGGATTCATTCCCTCAACCCTAACAAATGTCTTGTCAGTGCTAAATGGCAAACCAACTAATGGGAAGATTTTATTGGAGCTTATGTTTGTGTGGTTTGAATTGCAAGTTCTCTGCGGCTCCACCTATATTATTGTTTTGGACATTAGTTTTATTCAAGCTCAACATTTGGGTTGGAATAGGGGTTTTAAGAAAGTTGATATCCACATGGACAGCACTGAGGCAGTAGGTTTGGTTATACGAGGCGTTGGTTCTAGCCATTAGCTCATGGTTTGAACGAAAGCTATTATTTTATCTTTCATCAGCCACCAAGTCTTGACATTAGAGGTGGTGGCTGAAGATTGATGGTACTTGTAATTCTTTCTTCCTAGTTTTTCCTTTAATTGTATGGTTGTAATGAGGTTCAACTTAGAATGAGCACCGGTGCTCATCAATGTATAATAATTACAAAAATTTAAACAGTACAGAGTATATTTAAATAATTAATATATAATATTTATAAAAATTTTAATGTGAAATCAAACCCTTTAAATTAAATTTAAATTAAATTAAAAATAAAAATTTATGAAAAAATGTACAACCGAATTCAATTTCAGTACTCATCAGTGACGGGATCTAGACAATTTAAATTTTTGAGTACTAAATATTTTAAATTTAAATTGTCTAGATCCCGATGGGTACTGATATTGAATTCGGTTGTAATAATCCAGCTATTATTTTTTTCTCTAATAAAAAAGATACTTTTAGATTTGTATTAACATCGCTATGCGGGCAGTCTGCACGTTTTTAAGACAAAGCCTTTGTCTGCGTCGGTCTCCGTTAGACAACGCCGCAACGAAGAAAATGCGAGTTTGTTTAGCGTTGATGGTACGTTAAATTTCGCTTTTGAAATTTTCGAAATTTGGATTGTTTAGTACTTTTTCTGCTGCCTTTTTAATGTTTTAAATTACAACTTTTCATTTCAATACATTAGATAAAATTTCTCTAAACATTAATTAACATTGAGATTTTGAATATTAGGGAGGAAACACACATTCCAAATCGAATGTGCCAAGTGTATAAAAGAAATAGACAAATTAGCTCTCTAAGGCCAACTATTACTACAAAATTATGGTGAGATCTGAACGGCAATTAAAATTTAAAATTTTTGCCCTATAATTTTTTACATAACTATTTTCTTTTTTTAGATTCTCTAACTATTAAAATAAAACTTTCGGTTATATTGATGCTCATCACTTCAAATTTAAATCCTCTAAAATTAAAATTCATAAATTTGTGTGATTTTTTCTCTTTTTTATTAATTTTTATAAAATACAAAATCATATCTCTCTTATTTTAAAAGACAAAATTCATGAAATTCATCAATTTTCAAATTCAGAGAATCCATTCCCATCACTCCACTAAAAGTGAGTGCCACTCTGTATATTTTGTTTTATTTTTTTGGTTACTAATTGGTAATTTTTTATTGAAGATATATTCAAAATATAGATGAGTATTGAGATGGAGATATTTCTTTCAGCGAAATATTTTAACACCGAACTCATTGCACATTCTCATGTGTGATCAGTATCAAAATTTGATTTGTCTTTTTTTTTCCCCCATATATTTTTATAGAGTTTGAAAACAACACGGAAGTAGATGAACCGACAGCTAAAGTTATGCAGGCTGGGAATGTCTCCGAGCCCAAGCAACATGATTGACTTTTATTCCCTGGAGAATAAAAATTAAGTCCTAAATTATTGAGTTAATTATGATAATTAACTCCCACAAATTTTTTTCTGAAAGATGAATTAAAAAGAGTAGCAAACGCACAGGACCTTGGATTGATGGAGGCATAAAATGTAAAAATATTAAAAAAAATTGAAATATAGTTATTTTTATAAAAAAATAAAATCAATTTATATACCAAAACATAATAATATAAATTAATGGAAGCATTGCGTAAGCTCAAACGCAACAGTCAGCTATATATATAAAAGTGAGAATTACATCAGTTATCAGCTGTAATGCTTGTTAATAAACCTTTTGCAGTAATTAATCATTTGATTGTAATTCTCCCTATATTTATAACACGATCACAAAAGTACTGCATAATTCAAATCCATTCCACTAAAGTAGTCCACAAAGAAAGTATCAATAATGAGCTCCTTCATGTTGTATTATGCTCTTGTTTCTCTTGCTTTCTTCTTCACTCTCAAGCTCCTCCTTCAAAGCAGAAAGTTCAAAAACATACCCCCTGGTCCGTCTTCTCTTCCCATACTCGGAAACCTCCACCAGCTCAAAAAACCACTTCATCAAGCCTTTCACAGAATTTCTCAACGTTATGGCCAAATCTTTTCTCTTTGGTTTGGCTCTCGTCTCGTCGTCGTCGTCTCATCTCCGTCCGCAGTCCAAGAATGCTTCACCAAAAACGACATCGTCCTCGCAAACCGGCCTCGCCTTCTCATCGGTAAGCATATCTCTTACAACTGCACCACCGTAGTTTTCGCTCCCTACGGCGACCACTGGCGAAATCTCCGCCGCATCACGGCGCTCGAGGTGCTCTCCACGCACCGTCTCAACAAGTTCTTGGAAATGCGCAGAGACGAGATGAAGCGTCTGGTGCAGAAGCTTGCTCAAGACTCGTATAAAGAGTTTACAAAGGTAGAGATGAAAACAAGGTTTTCAGAGATGACCTTCAACACTATCATGAGAATGATTTCAGGGAAGAGGTATTGGGGAGACGACTGTGAGGTTGGGGATGTGGAAGAAGCGAGAAAATTCAGAGAGATGATAAAAGAATTGGTGACGCTCGGAGGGGCAAATAATGCTGGAGATTTCTTGCCCATACTTAGGTGGTTTGATTCAGATCACTTGGAGAGGAAGCTCAAGAGTTTTGGGAACAGACTCGATGGGTTCTTGCAAGGTCTGATTGACGAGCATCGAAATGCAGAGCAGAGAGCAAACACTATGATAGATCATCTTTTGAGTTTCCAAGAATCACAACCTGAGTACTATACGGATCAGATTATCAAAGGCCTCGTTTTGGTAAGTAAAAATAATTTTTGGTAGTGTGATATCTTTTGATGATCTATTTGCTGTATGGCGAGCTTGCAAACTCTGTTCATGTTGCGTTAGGATACTCTGTATTTGCCTCTTTTTGAAGCGGTTAAAGTTGTGGATATCAGTAAAAATCATTATACCATTTTATATTCAAACAATTAGTTTGATATCGGACATAAAATTGTTATTTGACTTTGATTTGTTAATATTGACTGACAGGTCTTACTTCTCGCTGGAACAGATACATCAGCTGTGACTTTAGAGTGGGCAATGTCTAGTTTATTAAACAATCCTAACGTATTGGGAAAAGCAAGGAAAGAAATAGACTCACATATTGGGCAAGAACGATTTATAGACGAGCCAGACACTTCAAACCTACCATACCTTCAAAGTATCATCTCTGAAACACTTCGACTGCATCCTGCTGCGCCATTGTTGGTCCCACACGAGGCTTCAGCTGACTGCACAATTGCAGGATATAACGTTCCACGCGGCACTATAGTATTAGTGAATGCTTGGGCCATCCATAGAGATCCCCAACTGTGGGATGATCCGGCAAGTTTCAAGCCAGAGAGGTTTGAGAAGGAAGGAGAAGCAAGCAAGCTAATTCCATTTGGGTTGGGAAGACGAGCATGTCCAGGAGCAGGATTGGCTCAGAGAACAGTGGGATTGACTCTTGGATTGTTGATTCAGTGCTTTGAATGGGAACGAGCGAGTGAGGAAGAAATTGATATGACAGAAGGATCAGGACTTACCATGCCAAAACTTGTTCCTTTAGAAGCCATGTGCAGAGTGCGTCTTCCAATGAACAAGCTTCTTTCTGAAAACATTGCAAAGGATAGCTAAGGAATTGTATCTGGGCGTAGAATTGTGGAAATTAGTTTCTTGCAATAAAATGTGCATTTTTAGTATTTGATACAATCTAGTTCGTTTGCAATCAGTGAAGAAGGGGAACATCTATATATATATATATATATATATATATTTATATTGCATGTGCACCGCCCAATAATTCCCTTAGAGTTTGTTTTTTCTTGTTTTTGTATTGTATCACTTATATGGCCTTGTCGTTTTCTTGTATTTTTAACATTATTTAAGGTGGAGTTTGGATTTGGTAGATTGTAGATTTAAAATCCCACCTTTAAATTCAAATATTTAAAATATTTTTATAGAGATAGTGTATTTTAAAGGAAAACAAGAGACAAACTAATAAATTTTGAAGTGAAAACAAAATATTGAAAGTGATAAATTTATTTATATTTTTAAATTAATATAAAATGAGAATAAAAGATGACAATGATAGAGGTATTAATAGTTAGGGTTAGGGGATAAAAATAAAAGGTTTTTTTGAAAGGAGCATTATCCTTATCTTTTAGTTAGAATAATGTTATCTGAAATTTTAAAAAAGAGCACAATGTCGCTGTAGCATTATCTTCCGCCCATTTGGACCATTAAATCACTCATTTTGACTGAAAAATCCATAGGTGGCAAGTTTAATGGGATGAGTTGGACACACTTGTGTAAAAAAAGAAAAAACTTGCAAATGATCTTCGTCAAATTGGGTAGTCAAGATGAAGAATAGAGATTGGGCTTCAAATCCATGAGAGCTTCTAATTGAGTTTCTCTCCCTCAGTTGCTGTTGAAGAATCGAGAATGGGAAGGAGGATGAAGGAAAAGGGAGATGGTCCAGATGTTGCTCTCTCTCAGTCGTCTCCTAGGATGGTCCAGATATTGGAAGTGTTTGAGACTTCTTCGACAACCTGTAAGATCTATGTCAATGTCCGATGACCTAATTTTCTATGTTTACTGCCAACTTCATTTTTTTTTTAGCAGTAAAGTACATTTTTATTCTTAAATTTTTTTTAAAGAGTATTGGGCACCCTATATTAACAAGTGAATAATTTTTTTTTTGAACTATTTTTTTTAGGAGCAAAAAACCTTTTCTATTAATCAATCATTTATTTTATTATTTTTTGCTGACATGATATGTGTATGGGGTCCACATACAATGACATATACCATATTCTTTAGTGCTAATTTATCTTTGAACTCTTTTTAAAATAGCACTGGGTATCTTAAAATTTATTTCTAATAATGCTAGGTACCTTGAAATTTTATTAAAATAAAAATTAATAAAAATTGATAAAATATTAAATATATTCATATTGAATAAGTTAAATATAATCATTTATAAATATTCATCTAAAATTTATATGTTATTTTTTAAATATCTTATAAATAATTTATAAATATTTTTTGAGATAGTGCCCATATTGTTATACCTTTTCTATGGGTGAGAACTTACTTGCATTTTTAACGTTGGTGAAGTGGCTTAAATTTTTAGATTCTTCCCTATAATGTTTTGGTTAACTAATGATCTTTTTTCAGGATATTTTACCATCCAGTTTTAACGCTCTCTATATTTTGCAGTCGTTAGCCATCAATTGACAAAGCCTGCCGAATGAAAGAGACAGGAGTTTAGAAGCTCAGGTATATGAGAGGAATATGAATAAGGAGATGGCCATAAATAGACATGCTAGCAAGTTCATGAACCTCTACATGGCTATAAACGAATAGCAAAGGTAATAAATGAACCGCTTCGAAGAAAAACATCAACTGGTTGGAATCCATGTATTCAATAAATGCAAAACACCTAAACGGAAAGGGAATGCAGAGCATCGGTTGACGAACTGAAACGATGAGTAGAGGAAGATGCATTTATTGTTCAAGATAAAGTGAAGGGGGAAATGCCTAATTTTAAGCTTTGAAATTTTTTTAACCATGCTGTACAAAGTAAGTAATCGAGGAAATAGAATAAAGGAGCACATGCTTGAAGGAAAGCAGAGACATTAGGGTGTACCAATTTCGCGCAACAATGCGTGAACTAAGGAATTAAAGTCAGTGATGAAAGCGAAGACCTAAACAATTTTGTAAAGAGGGAAACGCCTTCCTTTCAGCTATGAATAATTTTGTGAAGAGGGAAATAGAAGCCCATTCAGCTGTGAAATCTTTGTAACCCTGCTGTGGAAAAGGAGTAATCGAGAAAGTAGAATAAAGGAGTAGATGATTGAGTGAAAAGTAGAGACATTAGGGTCCCAATTTCGTGAATGCCTGAACCCAGGAATTGTCGTTACCGATTAAAGTACAGGCCTGAACAATTTTGTGTATAGAAGGTTGATACCATCAGAAATGACCAATAATCAAGGGATAGGGAAGTGCTCTCGATGAATCATGAAGCGGCGGGGGAAGGGGGGAAAAAAGTGAATTGGGCTTATTGCACACATGATGATCCAGTGTACCTGAAATAGCTCAAGAGGAAGTGACCCAATAAAATTGTATAGGTGTCTTCAAATGCCACAAGAGAACAAAATAAGGAAAAGACAACAGGTAGCTAAGAATTCTTAAGGGAAACAGTTATTATGTATGTATGTATGTATGTATGTATGTATTGATGGTTAGTGTTGTCAAAACCAAGACCAACCAAGAATAGGTCAGACCTGGTTAAAATCGGTGAAAGCTGCTAAAACTTGCGGGAAAACTAGTCAGAATTAGCCAAGAATCGATTTTCATATTTTTTGTTAATCTCAATAACCCAAAATTATGTTATTTGTATTTTTATTATTCTTGTAGTTAGTTTTTCTTTAATGTTATACCTATTTATGAGATTATTTATTAAAGCTTTTAGTTAATAGTAAAATCTTATCTTAGTTTGATTAGACTTGATGATTTTGATTACTTGTATAATGGATAATAAATAGTTTTATTATTATGCTGGTGCAATTGATTATAATTTAATAACTTTTTATAAGAATATAGTTAAATATTGTCTAAAATATTTTTCATGCATAATTTTTAAATTTTATTATTTTAATTGAGAATGATCAAATCACAGTCCAATTAAAGCTTGGTTAATCAGCATTTTAATCTGTTCAATATGGTTCAATTCCGACAATCCTTGTAAGCTGTGACAAATAAAAGATCACTCTAGATTCTATAACTATTAAAAAAAAAAAAATCGATCAAATTGATGCTTAGAGGCTCATCACCTTACTAAAAGTGCTTCCTCAATTACGAGGTAATGACATGCCGAAAGTGGAAGCCATCTGTTTATTTTAAAATTTAACACGGAGGAGCGGTTTGCTTATTACAATTGATAGGATTGAAATATAATAGATTAAAAATATAAATAAAAATGAATTAAATTATTTAACTTTTTATCGTAAATATGATAAAATTAAATGTCACATACTATAAATATTAAAATCATTACACCCACAAAAATTTTATAAATTATAATTCTTAATTTTATATATGGATTAATTAAATTACTTTTCCTTTCCTTTTCAGGAAGATGGTTAACTTTCTGTTTTTCACATTTTAATTATTTTATTTTTATGTTTATCTACTCCATCCATTCCATTGTTTTTCAGCGAGCAAATGGCCTTACTAGTCTACACATTCCCGTGTGTAATCAGTATCGAAATTCGATTTGTCTTTCTTTTTTCCTTACATATTTTTATTGAGCTTGAAAAATGAAAACCAGCCAGAAGTTGTTGAACCAACAGATAAAGTTATACTCGGGCCAAAAAAAAGACGGATAAAGTAAAATTGGCTGAAAATATCCTGAAGCCTATAAGTAGCATAATTTACTTTTTTTAAGAATAATAATTAGGTGTCAAAATAATTAAAAATAAATAGAAAATATCTTTTCAAATAATAAAAAATATAAAAATTTCAATTGCTGATAATTTATTTAAATTATAAGTCTTACATAGTAATTGAAATTTTTATTTATAACATTTTAAGTTCATATTTGCAATTCATTTTCTTAAAAAAAATTCTTAGAGTTCTAGCTATATTGTTAATTCAACCTTTTAAGAACTAGCCATTTTTTTAAAATTGATTAGGCATGTTAGGCACTCGAACCGGCCCGTACATTAGAATTCTATCAAACCTTACCCGTTATACTACATAATTGGAATTGGAACTTTTGAATTAGATTCTTTATAAGGAAAACAGTTAGTTTCTATATTTTGATTTTAGTTTCTATAGTTTTATTTTCATTATTTCTAGTCTTTTTAGTTTGATCCATCTGCAACATTAAATCCTATAATTTTAAAAATGTACATGACAAACATGAACTAGCATTAATGGAGTAAATTTATTTTCACTGTAACTTTGATAACTCTTTTACTGACATGATAAAAATACGTTGACACGAAAATAAATTGATTAGGTATAATTAAAAATAAAAAGTAAGGGGGTAAAAAAAAGGTTTTCTTATATATTTGGATTAAATAGAAAGTGAAAGACAGAAAATATCAAGTACATGTCAACAAATGGGGTTAATTTAATTACATGTTTAAGTATGCAAATGCAAAATAACTCCGTAAGTTCCAACTAATGATCCTTATGTATATGTATTTTTAAAATGGTAGGGACTAATATTGCAAATTGATCAAGCTAAAGGGGGTGGAAACAAAGAAATAAAATAATAAAGAATAAAAACTAAACACGATCAAAATGTATTTTCCCCTTCTTTAAATCTATGATTAATCGAAGCATTGCCTAAGCTCAGGCGCAACACACAGTCAATTATATATATAACACTATCACACGTGTCTACATAAAAATCCAATCCACTAAAGTACTCCACAAAGAAAAGTACCAAGCAATCATGATCTCCTTCTTGCTGTATCATCCCCTTGTTTCTCTTGCTTTCTTCTTCTCTCTCTAGCTCCTTGTTCAAAATAGAAAGTTCGAAAACTTCCCACCTGGTCCACCTTCCCTTCCCATGCTTGGTAACCTCCACCAGCTCACAAAACCACTCCGCCACACCTTTCACAGAATTTCTCAACGTTATGACCAAATCGTTTCCCTTTGGTTTGGCTCCCGTCTCGTCGTCATCTCATCTCCGTCCGTCGTTCAAGAATGCTTCACCAAAAACGACATCGTTCTGGCGAATCGGCCTCGTTTTCTCGTCGGTAAGTAT